ATGCTACATTAATATATAAATTAAAAAATATAAAAATAATATAAAGATATAAAAGATTTTATACAGATAAATTATTAAAAATATTAAATTAAAATAAAAATAAAACAAGTAATTATAATTAAAAAAATAAAAATAAAATGTCTGTTTCAGTACTTCACAATTATAATGAGTACCGTAAAATTTTTCTATTTTATTTTATTTTATTCATATATATATATATATATTTCATATTACAAGTGTAAAGTATTTAATGATTTTTTCTATAACTACTTATAGTAAAAAAAAGTTCTATCAACCTCTAGTTTTCAATTAAAAAAAAAACAACTCAGGTTAAGGACTTTACACAGGAGATATCACCTTATTTCAACTTTTTTATCCATACACCTTATTCTTATTGTTATTATTATTATTATTAGAGTTAATCATCTATATACTGTCAGTGTATACTAACAACCAATCATATCTTTTAAGTTATTTTATTTTATTTTTATTTCATTAAATAAATAACTGACATGACATTATTAAAAAATATAATTTATTGTCGTGTAAAAATGATTAACTCTTATTATTATTTATAATCTCCACAAGGTTACAGTATTATCACGCCTCTTCATTATTTATTTATTAATTTAATGACATTTTTTTCCTCTATTTCAAATTCCATCGTAACATGATTATAGTCCTCCTAAGTTTTTATTTTTCAGTAAATCAATTTTATATGAAAATTACACAAAGTTTGTCTTTTTGCATCATTTTTTAACCTAATAATTTACAAATTAAGTTGATTAATTTGTCTTATGGTCGAAATTCTTCACGAAAATATAAAAAAGAAAAACTAATTTTTCTTTAGGAAAATCCTGATCTTACATCTTATAACTTTTTTAAAACCTTTTTTTTTCTTACAATTTTACTCATTTTACTTTTTTAGTCCCTATACTTTAAAATTGATAATTTTTCTCCCTATGTTTATCTATTTCATTTTTTTAATCCTTGTAATTTAAAATAAATTATTTTAGTTTATGTACTTAAGTTTTTCAATCTTTTTTTTATTTTTATTGTTAATTTTTTTATAATATTATTTATTTTATATAAATACTATAGGAGTCCAGGCACTTCGTGTCTCTAAGAGTTACACACAGATAAATATTATAAATTATAGATAGTTATTTAAAATATATATATATATATATATATATATATATATATTTAAGGGTATAATTGTCTACTAAAAAGTCGAGACTAAATGAGTGATTACCAAAATATATATCCTTTATAATATATATAGATATATAGATGATAAATACCTTCAATTTTGTGAAAATAAAAAAAAAATGTCTCTTAATGATAAACCTCATAAATGAGGTACAAAAGAAACATACAATATTGAAAAATTTAATTAAAATAATATTAGCGAACTATATTCTATCAATTAATATATCTATAAAATTAATAAGAAAGAGATAACATTAAAAAAAATATTAAATACAAAATACTTTAACCTATTTTTTTTCAAATTATAAAATTTCTCTATTACACATTAATGTCGTTAGATTTCTATATTTACTTTAATATGATAGAATTTTGTATTGTTTTTTTTATACGTCAGCCGCTGTCTAGCTTGTGATTCTAGGCCTGGGCAAAAACTTCTGGCCGATCCGAAACCGGCCAAACCGACGATCAGATCGGGTGAAGCGGATTAATTCTCAGGTATTTCGGATTTTTTCTGAAGCAAATTTCGGGTTCAAACGGGTTTTAACGGTCGGATTCGGTGTTAGAATTTTCTCATCCGATGCACCCGAATCCGACCGTTCGTCTTCACCGTTTATTTTCTCCGTCTCTTTTACTTCGTCTTCTTTCTTCTTCTTCTTCACTCCGTCTTCTTTCCTCTTCTTCTTCACTCCGTCTTCTTTCTTCTGCTTCTTTCTTCTTCTTCACAGTGTCTTCTTTCTTCTTCTTCTTCACTCCGTAAACATCCTCTTTTCTTCAACTTATTCCTGCCATGGCTACCGCCGCTGAGAAGCTCCCTGTTCTGGTTGATGAAGGTGGTGATGTGGAGATCTGAAACTCCGTGATTTCCCCCAAATGAAGCAGTAACAGAGACCGGCAAAGAGTGACGAAGGATGGCGGCACGAGACGCTAGAGGAAGCTTCTCAAACCGATGAATCCATCCGATGAACCCGTAACCCGCACGGATTGAACCTGCTAAAACCCGAGTTCTTCGTCGGTCGGAAATGGCTCCTGATTTTTCTTAATCGGTTTCGGATGATTTTAAGAATTTTGGTCCGAAACCGACCGTGGCCGACCGATCAGGCCTATGTGATTCGATCATTTCCATGAATCGTGGCAGCTATGATTGATTGATTGTCTGAAAATTGAAAAACACATATATATTATATAATATACACATGTTTATACACATTGTTGGAGTTGTTGGAATCTACACTAAGATTAGAATGGAATGTTGCCACGAGTATGGACTAATTTTAAAAAAATAGGATTGTTGCATCATTAAAGGCCATAGTTAAGAAGGTGTACGTCGTTTATGTTGTCCAAATGTCTACTACTAAGTCAGATAAGAAGACATGTAAAATAAGTTTGAGTCATAGAAAATCTTGTGGATTTGCTTCTATTGAAAATCTAATAAGATAATTATTAGTTTGTTAATGAAAAGTTTATATTAGAATAAATGTAATGTTATAGTCAACTACAAAGTACTAATTTCTTTAAAAAATTTCAGTAAAATTATAAATTATTTGATCTATCTTTAACACAAATTCACACGAAATAATATAAAATACAAAATTTTAAATTTAATTCTAAATTTAATTTAGTAAAAATAAAATTTAATTATGTCATCCTTATAATTGTGAGACAAAAAATGATTATTATATTAAATTTACATTTTCGATTCAACTTATTTTAAAAATCAATATTTACTTTTATTAGTCATTAAGATCATTTATAAAAATAAGCAAATAATTTTTTAGTAAGCATGTATCCAAAATAAAATTAGAATTATATTATTAGTTAAATTTTGTATATAACATAAAAAATAGTTTTAATGATCATCAATCAATTTGATGATTCATATTTTGAAGAAAATATCTCAGTAAATTTAACATCTAATAATTTATTTTGTGTTTTAGTCAATTTAAGTTTATAGTTGGTAACTAAATTAATTAATTATTCTCAAATATGAAGATTGAATTAACTATTTTGACTATGTTTTTAAATTAAATTGATGATAATGTTAATTTTATCACATTAAATGCGAGAATAATCTTATCTCATAATGAATTAAAATAATAAATTATTAAATTATGTGAATTTTTAAAAAAATTTATGAGACCTTTAAACTATTTTTGTCATGAATTTTTGCCTTATCTCATAACCTATAAATTATAAATCAGGTCAAAGATTTTATAGATTTTTGTGGGTCTATAATATTAGCATTTTATAGATACTAAATAAATAAATAACTTATAACTGCCCTTTATTTTTCTATTGCATGTTGATGTAATAAGGTTTATTTTATTGTTAGATTTGTATCCTTTGCTTCTGTGTCTGTTCTCAAATTAATTGACGTGGTAACATAATTGTATAATTAAAGATCAAAGTCAGTACACATAATTGTTTCGTTGTGTTGGATCTATTATCAGATGTCGATAAGATCTATGATAAAGGTTAAGAGTGTTTGGTTTGAAGTTTTGAGGATGTTCTCTATTAACGATTTTATAAGGTTAAAGAGTTAGAGCAGGGAATGGGATAAGAGTGAATGCAGATAAGAACTATTGAAAAGGTAGAATGTTTGGTAAACTTTGAGTATGTTTTCTTTTACCAAATTTATTTGGTTATAGACTGTGTGGGTACGAAATGAGATAAGGATACACAGAATAAAGAATAGTATATATTTGACATATTAAATTTATCGTTTAATGAAAATATTAAATTAAAATTAATTGATATTAAATAAATAAATAAATTTATCTTATGAATAATATTATTAGTAATTTTGAGAGACAAACACCGACATAATTTTTTTTCTATAATATAATTGATGTAAAAATACTGTGATAATAAATTAGATAATATTATTATATTATTAATGAATTTAAAATATTTTATATTTCTATGTATATTTTATTTAAATAAAAAATAATTCATTTAAACTATCTCGTCTATATATTTTTATTATGCTTAATTTGATATTTCTAATTATTTTTCTCTTTATTCAAGCACATATATTAATTACAGTGTAATGTTATACAACTATAAATTTTTATCAATGTTTTTATTTTATTTATGCCTCTATTTTTAATAATACTATAATTTAATTGTTTTACAATTATAATGCTTAAAATATGTTAAAAACATTACACTTTACGTAACTGTATTTGTAAACATGTACAAAAGTCAAAGAAACTGCATATTTTATTTACAATTATACTTTTTTGTAATCATAACTCTTCGTTAATTGAGATCAAACAATGATTATAGTTTTAAATGTTTTTTTTAGCTTCTTATAAAAGATAACAAATGTTTATTTTGTAGTTTGACAATAACATAATATGAATCTCACATTAAAATTGAATTTGATTATATTATCTATCATGTCATATATTGTGAGTAAATATTTGTTCTTAACTATTTCATAATTTTTCAAAGTTATTTTTAAAAAAATAAAAAATAAAGCAATATTATTAAAAAATGATGTTTATAAAGAAAAATAATAAATAAATAAATAAATATGTTATCACTTACTTATTTATCAAAATATGCATTTCAAATAATTTCTCTTAATATCTTCATATAATTGAAAAGTCTTATTGAATCTTAGTCTGGTTGCAAATAAAAAAAAATATAAAATATATTTTAATTTTCATATATCATTAAATAATGAGGCAAATTTATGAATACTATCAAAATTTTATTTTTGTATAAATAAAAAGCAGCAAGAATTTGAGATAACAAAATTTATTTGAGAAAAATCTTCTGTATGTGAAATTTACATCTTCTCTTTCAAGATTTTCTCCTTTTACACTAAAATAATTTTATGAAATTCCAATAATATTTTTTCTAAGACCAAAATTGGTGATCGTAGATTGTTGGAAATCCCAGATAAATACAATAAGCAAAAGGAGGAACATGGAGTGTGTTTGGCTTTACATATAAACCCCTTAAACGAACATTTAAATTTCATCGAAAGAGATATTAGAATGTTTGACAACTCTTATTTTTCGTTAAATTAAACATCATTTCTCTCTCAAAAAGGTTATTCAATTTTAAGTTTCTTTTTTACTTTTTGGTTGGATGGAAAGAAAAGAAACATCTTTACACTAATGTACTAGTATTACCATCAAAATAAAAAGTTAATTACAAACTTCAATAAATTCATTAATTTTGTTATTCTAATTGCAAATAAAAAATTAATTACAAACTTCAATAAATTCACTAACTTTGTTATTCTAATTGCAAAAAAAAAAAAAAAATTACAAACTTCAATAAAACCATTAATTTTGTTATTCTAATTGTAAAATTTTCAAAATAATAATAAAAAACAAGCCATCATCAATATTTTAGTAGCATTATTTTTTTTTAAAATGCAATAATTACAATTTTTTATTATTTTTATTTTATAATATTAGCATCAATTTTTTTAAAATATAATAATAATAAAGTAACATGTTATCAATTCAAATATATTTTAAAAATAATAAAATAAATAATATTAACATTACAAGTTTTATTTTAATAAAAATACTTTCAAAATAAAAGTATCCAAACATAAAGTTATACCAAATTTATTTTTAAATAAACTTAAATTTACAAAATTAAGATAAACCAAATGAAGAGTATAATCCAAAGACAGCAGAAGTCTGGTAAGGAAAAGCCCGTGGGCATTTGGTTAGAGTGAGAGAAGCCCTAATCAGACAAAACCAAAAATCCCCAATCGTTGTGTTCCGAGCGAGAGGGAGCCATGAGAGGCCTTGTGTGGAGCACGAAAGCGTTTGCTCGGAAGTTGCTGTTCCATGGAATTGGAAGGAACGCTCGTTCATACAGTCTCGTCCCAATGGTGATCGAACACTCTTCCCGAGGAGAGAGGGCTTACGACATCTTCTCGCGCCTTCTGAAGGAGCGCATTATCTGCATGCTTTCTCATTCTCCCAATTCAACGCGCTTTCCTCACCAAAATCGTGCCTAATCGTTGTGTTCTGAGCCCGAGGGAGAGGGAGCCATGAGAGGCCTTGTGTGGAGCACGAAAGCGTTTGCTCGGAAGTTGCTGTTCCATGGAATTGGAAGGAACGCTCGTTCATACAGTCTCGTCCCAATGGTGATCGAACACTCTTCCCGAGGAGAGAGGGCTTACGACATCTTCTCGCGCCTTCTGAAGGAGCGCATTATCTGCATCAACGGACCCATCTCCGACGACACCGCTCACGTCGTCGTTGCGCAGCTCCTCTTCCTCGAATCCGAAAACCCTTCCAAACCCATCCACATGTACCTCAACTCCCCCGGTGGCGCTGTCACCGCAGGTACCCCATTGCACACCCTTCTTCAAAATTCCATTTTTAGGGGATCCCCTTTTGCAAAACCCTAATTGTCTAAAAAAAATGAAAAGGGGCACTTCTGTGTCGTGTAAAAACTGTGCCTTTTCTTTTTCTAATCTGTAATTGATGTTAATTGTTCAATGGGTAAAAGCTACATTTTTCTAATATATAATTGTTTTAAATTAATTGCTCACATTCTCTTTATTTTATCAAACAATAAAAAACGCAGACACTCAGGTAAATTGGTCTCTGACTCTGTCTATTTGCTAGTATGAACATGTTTGGGTGAAACAATCATTTATAGCGGGGAAAAACAAGATAAAAAAAAATGAAATAAGTTAGTCCATAAATTAAGCTTTTTGTGTTAACTTATCTAAAATCTTACTTTTAACTTGTGAATAAGTTAATTTTTAATTTATGGAGAAGCTTATTTTGATTTTCTTTCCTATTTTTTTCTTTTTTCCTTAGAGGTGTGTTTGGAGAAGTTTATTCGAATAGACCTTATGTATAATTGTTGTGTTCTGTTTTGAGACTTAGCATTGGTGTCACTGTTATGTGTAGGGCTTGCTATTTATGATACAATGCAGTATATTCGATCTCCAGTCAATACAATTTGTTTGGGTCAAGCTGCATCAATGGGTTCTCTCCTATTGGCTGCTGGTGCCAAGGGTGAGAGGCGAGCGCTTCCAAATGCAACGATCATGATTCACCAGCCTTCTGGTGGTTATAGTGGCCAGGCAAAGGATATTGCAATTCACACCAAGCAGATTGTTCGGGTTTGGGATTCCTTGAATGAGTTGTATGCCAAGCATACGGGCCAGTCGGTTGAGGTTATTCAGACAAACATGGACAGGGATAACTTTATGACTCCCCAGGAGGCCAAGGAGTTTGGGATCATTGACGAGGTTATCGATCAGAGACCCATGACTTTGGTTTCTGATGCTGTTGGCAATGAAGGCAAAGATAAAGGTTCGAATTAGAACCCGAGGGAGGGTAAGATTTCTTTGCGGAATCCTTGCTGTATTTAAATGCTTTGCCTGTCACACCTTAGGTATAAATTGCAGCTGATATAATTTTATCAACTGAACATAACCTTTGTCACATTTGGTTGTTAGATTTGTCCTTTAAACTTCAGTCTTGTGCTCCATTGTTTTTATTGGCATATTTTTTGTCGCACAGATTTTGAACTTCAAGTACCTTTATTTTGAAATAGCTAATTATCCACAAATAATATCAGATGATTGTTTCAGTCAGGGTATCTTGTTCTATATTTGATTGTTAATTTGTGTGTGAAAAGTAAAATCTTGATATCATTTGAGTATCAATGTATGAGAAAAATTGATATATTTTTGTCATGTCAGTATGTCACCATTTCTTTATATGAAAAATTGGCATAGTGATTAATCCTATGATCGAGAATCATTGTAGGAGATTGATGGGGAAGGTTTGCCAATCAAATATGTTCAACCTTAATTGCCATGCTCTTAAATGGATTCTGGTTTTGTGTTTCTTGCATATATTCTGGATGGCAAAAATTGATCCTTAAATTTTATGGTCATGATAAATATTAAAAAGCATTCGTGATAGATTGGCAAGTTGGGCTTGTTGTTTTCAGTGATCTGTGTAACATACTACTGGTGTATTTTTGCTGTTGGAAAATGCAGTTTTTTTTATAGACAAAACTTAGGTACAGTTCCTTAGATGCAGTTGATGTTGTTCTTCAATTAAAGTTGGAGTTTTACTTCAGTATTATGCAAGTACATTTAATGCAGGTCTCATTAGTATATATTTACGCATATTATCGAAATAAAACTCAAAATCTAATTGGAGAATAGAACCAATCATACCTAAAGAATTGTACCTAAGGTTTTTTGTCCTTTTTTTTTTGTTTGTGAGGGGAGGGGGTGTTACATTAATAAGGGCATGAAGTAAATGAAGTTTAAATGATTAAGTATTGAAGCAGTTTATCTCAAATAATGGAGTGCTTGCCTCCACAAATGCTATAGCAAGATAGTGGTTGGCGGGATGACTACTATTTTGAACCCTGAACATAGATTTACACTACACTTGTATATGCTGAAAAAGATACATTAAAGGTATATTCATAATTAATGATCAAAACTAAACTCAAATCTCTAACAGCAAAACACAAAATAAATATTTAAATTGTATTACAAGTTTTTAATAGGTATCATCATCAAGGTCTGTCATGCCTTCTTTAGTTTTTGTTTCACCACTACTCTTGTATATCTCTTCCGCTTCTATAGTTTCTTCATCACCACATTGTTCTTGTTGTATAATTTCATTTCTTTTTCCCCTAGAGCTTGAAGTCGTAGAACTACCTAGTGTATGTTGAAGGCTCATTAGCCTCGTTTGCATTAGCAAAAAACTCAAGGTATCATCGTCAAACACGAATCCAATCTATCTTCAGCACGTTCTTCACCTAATCCACCTATTTCTCCCAACAACCATTCATTATTATCATCAACATCGTTCAGGAAAATAAGATCTCTCAATCACTATGCTTAAAACGATCTTTAAAAACTGTTTTTTTAATAAAAACAACGAACCCTTAAAGAATAATATTTAACATGTTAAATTAATCAAACAATATATATTTTAGAAAACATAAAGCAACCCTGAAAAATAATGAAAGAAACATGTTCTTGGTTTTCTTGAGATTTTTATTTTTTTAGAAACCCATATCTAACATCTCAACTAAAGCTTCATGAGAAATTAAAAATAATCTTCTTACCTGAAAATAATATTCTTATCAAATACCCTTAAGATCAATAAGTGCGAGTGCGTTATTGATTTTCCAGGGTCTTCGAATGTAGTATTAAAAATATAAACTCTAATTTTGTAGTACTAAAAATATAATTAAACCTAAAAAATTATTTATATATTTTTTTTGACTGAAAAAAAAAATATTTATATAGAGTGTATAAAAAATAAAGTCATATAATAATTTATTAAAAAACATAATTTGTGATTAACTAACAATGTAAATAGTTGGCCTAGTGTAGGTTGTGATACTATGCAAAGAGTTTTAGGTTTAAATTATGGTGTGTCATTGGCATTTCTAGGGATAATAAATAAAACAATGTAATTTTTTTATATAATTTTTTTTTACATCATTAGTGCATGCTCTCGTTTCTATAATGAGAAATGCAATTGATAAATAAATTTTGATTCACCCAATTGGTCGTTCGAAACTTGACTCAATTGTTTTAAGTCATAACTTTTAGTGTGATTATAGTTTCTGTATGTTTAATCGTTTGCCTTTTACCAAAGCTTACTTGATGTATGATTAAAGTATAATGATTAGAAATGTTATTAAGTCGTTAAAAAATAGTATTTAAACATTACATTATGTTAAAATTAATCTACTCTTATATTTCAAACTTAAATATATAATTTAGAGAATAATGTTATTTTCCCTGCATTCTCAATTAGAAATTCCATATATCTTGTTTTCTTTTCTTTTCGGAGATGCATTTCATAGACTGTTCCCTAATAGGTCATTTTTTTCCTCTTTCAAACATTTTCAACACTTTTTTTTATTCAATTAAAATTAATAATTTAAAGAATTTTTTTATGAGTATAATTTTATATCATATTTTAAATTACTAAGGGTATGTTTGGGAAATGGGAAGTAGAGAAGTGTGGAAGTTAAAAAATGCTGTGTTGTTTGATAAAAGATAATTAGGGGAAAGTGTGGGGAAGTTGATGTAGGTTCGTACCAAAAAAACTTGCTCTCTAAAATGAGGGGAAGTGTGAGGAAGATAGAGATAAAAAATAATAATCATAATAATAATACTAATACCAATAAATATAGTTTTTATTTATTACATTTAAAATAAAGGGGTGATTGTGTAATATATATATATATATAAAGTAAATAATAACAATATATAAATGTAATAAAAAAAATCATTTAATTTTTAAAATAATACAACTATAGTAAATAAATATAATAAAAAAATATTTCTTATGTTTAAATAAAATTAATAAACATATTTATTATGTTTA